ATGCGTCGCCCTTCCTCCCCGTCCACTTCACATGCGGTGAGGAGTTGCCGGAGATGGCGGTGGTTGAAAGCAGATTGTGCACCCGCACGGCGTGGTACATTGCGTAGGTCCAGTAGGTTGGCGGAAGCTTCGACTGCCTCATCAACGCCCGCACCTTCGTCATGAGGGTGCGATTCGTGCGCTCGGCTACGCCCTGCTGCTGGTGTGCGTAGGGGAGAGAAATGTGGTGCTCGATCCCCTTCTGCGAGAGGTAATCCTTTAGCTTCTTACTTCTGAACTCCGCCGCGCCGTCGGACTGCCAGATCTTTAACTTTTCCCCAGATTGCCGCTGCGCGTGCGCCAGCCACAGGCGGAATGCTTCATATGCTCTGCTGCGCGCTTCCACGTTTACGACCCACACGTAGTGCGTTCCGGCATCGACGAAGGTGAGCGTGTAGAATTCGTCGTTGATGCCGCAGTGTCCCACGTTGAGGAAGTCGCTGTACACCTTCTCTAGTTTGGTGTAGCGGTTGGTTCCGGGCTCTAGCAGGGGGAACGGCTGGTGGCTCAGCGCAGCTTCGGGGCAGACGGTGCAGTTGCGCGGATGTGTCGCGCCCCTTACTTCGGTGCCATCAGGGCGCATGAGTGCGCCAGGCGCGAATACGCCGGCCTCGATGCAGTTCTTCAGAGTCACGCGCGAGGGGTGACCTAGGCGCTGGTGCCAGATGGCATCGTCATCGCGGAATCCGGAGGTGCGCATGTAGCGCGTGAATGCTTCTGCGGGATCCTCATCAGGTGCTTGAGCAGGTGTCGCCGCTGCTTCTGCTTCTTCTTCTCCGTTCGCCGTTGTTAACATTAGCGCGAGGAATTCCCTGTCAAGAATAATGGAGAGCGGAATGTTGGTTCCAAGGATGGTTCCCGGGAAGAAGGTTGGTTCGCGCGGCTCGGGGGCAGGCCCGTAGACGGTGCATTGCGGAGTTGACGGCTCGTTCCCCCAGTCGATGGTGTCCCAAGGGTCACTTCCTGGCGGGATGTCAGGTGGGGGCAGTGCGGGTGCAGGGCGGCGCGGAGGTCGACCAAGAGGAACAACACGAGGTTCGGCCTCAATGGCCTCCTCAATTGCTTCTCCTTCCCCCCTTTGGTCCTCGCGGAAGGCTCCCCAGCCGCTCGTCTCGCCACCAGATGCGGCGCCCCATCCGCCGGTGTTTCCGCCGGTGTCTGCTCCCCAGCCGCCAGTGGTGCCGCCAGTTGCGGCTCCCCATCCGCCGGTATCGCCGCCAGTGTCGCTCGTGCCCCATCCGCGAGCGCTTCCCCACCCCCCTTCATTGGAGGCGCTCTCTTCTTCGCCCCATCCGCTCCAGGCGAATGTTCCGCGTGACTCAGCAAGGCTCCGTTGGCGAAGTTCTTCCGCTTCGCGGCGCGCCAGTTCCTCCTCTTGTGCGACGGTGAAATTTTTCGTAGAGTCGCGCTGATGAGCGTAGATTTCCAGGAATTTCTCCTGCGTGTAGGGTCGCGGATTGCCGTCTGCGTCGAAGGTGCCGACGCCGACACCGCGCAGCATGCCCCGCAGATGTTGGGATGCAGGTCCGGGGAGAGGGTGTTCCGGCGTTCCAAAGACGATGCGCGTGGCAGTCTCGAGCTCCAGGAGAGACAGCCCTTCTTCAGGCGGTGCGTCCCGCTCTGCTTCGGCGATGGCGGCGAGGCCACGGCCGGCAATCGCGCTCGTTGAGGTTGTGGGCGTGTGGCAGTCTCTGCAGATGCCGTCGGGGTCGGGGTCATGTAGTGCCGTTTCGCGCGGGTGAGCGTGATGAGGCACCCACGGTCTTCCGTCAGGGTGCTTCCAATCGCGGTGGTGAATATGTTCGAAGCGCAGAGGGACGAGATCGATCAGTTCCTGCGAGTCGCCGCTGCAGTCGGGAATGTCGAAATCGAGAACGTAGACTCCGTTCTCGGCGTGGGCTCGGCCGATCTGCTTTCGTGTCTTGTTCGGCATCGTGAAGTGGATCAGGATGTCACGCGTCTCGGGGTCGGTGCTGAGGACAACTCCGCAATCCATGAGTTGCGCCGCCGAGAGGAGATTGAAGCGCAGGTTCTGCACAATCAACACATCATTCAGCGTGATGTGCGTTTTGCTCCCATGTGCCTTGAGCACAACGATGCCTTGCGCGCTTGCGCGCAGGCGCGTGTTGTTCGTCACGGTGACATAGGTGACGGCGGGGGTGGCGACGGCGGGGGTGGCGACGGTGTTGGATATGTAACGCTCGGAGCCCACCATGTGCTGCCCACAGCAGCTATACAGGTACCACGTGTTGTAGCGCCTGTTGTCGTTACGTGCGAGCAGCGCCAGTCACGGAGTAACGATGTGTGGTGTGTCGACCTTTAGAAATTGTTCGCGCGCGATCCAGCCGATCGCTGCCGCCCGCGTATCAGGTACATGCGGGGGGCTCTCAAGCAGCGGGACTGGCAGATTCCAGTCCTGGTTGTCGTCGTCGGTGAAATCGTGGCGCGTGGTGAACGGATTGTTGTTCGAATTCGCTCCGATTGGGTGGCGTGCTTCTTCAGGTGAAGGTGAGCGCGCACGGGGACGACGAGATCCGCTCGTCATTGTCATGTTGCCCATGACGTTGCGGACGGGCGCAGTTGATGGCTGCTGCTGTCGCTCCTCCGTGTTGTCGGCGTAGAAGGCGAGGCGTTCTCTGTCTCGTCGCGGCGCTGGTCGCTGGTGGTCCATATCCCGTTGTTCGACGAGGAGGGCGGCGCAAAGGGCGGCCTCCGAGATGACCCCCTGCTGTCGGAGAAGCGCCTTGCAGGGCCGCCACTCTGGGCAGAGCCCTTGAAGCACAATGTTCACGAAGATCTCCTTAGAGATCGTGCTTCCCAATTTCGCGATTTGATCGCGTAATCTCCGACAGCGATTTAAGTAGCTGTTGGCCTTCTCCCCTGGTGCCATGCTTGTTTCCAATAGCTGCTGGAGTAGGCGGCTCGACGAAACCGAGTCCTTCGGTTGGTAGACGCCGTTCAGGTGGCGCCAAGCATCGAGGGCTGGAGCGGGTGTTGTCTTGTATGAGCGAATGCTCAATTGCTCCGCCGGCGACATATTTCGCAGAAGAACTCCGTACGCCATCAGGGACTTGTTGTGGTACCTTGCCTTGGCGTCGTCGGTGTCTTCAGCGGGTCCCGAGTAGCTCCCGTCGAAATAGTGGAAGATCTGCGCGTTTTGCAGCAGTAGCTCCAGCTCGAAGCTCCACGTATAGAAGTCTCTGCCGTCAAAGCACACACTTGTCTTTATTTTTTATATACTCAAAAACCTTGATTGTGCAGAGAGAATTGCCTCTTCGCTGGGACGGGGGGTTTTGGGAGTTGAGCCATTGGTGTCGAGGGAGAAGGTATGCGGGGCGGTATTGTGGCCGTTCGAGGCCGGTTGAGAGGGTTGGGAAGAAGTTCCCGCGTCGCCGTTCTGCAATGCCTAGAGTTGTTGCTCCAGGCTGGTGAGTCGCTGAAGCATCTGTGCGAGGGCGGCGGTTCCGATCGTCGTCGTTTCCTCGCTTGTCGCAGCCGGGTTGGTCTGCGCTTCAGCCGTCAGATTCGTCTGACCACCAGATCCTCCGGCCATTCTCACACGCGAGCGTGTGCCGGACGCCACTTTTCGTTCGCCGAGAGTTTCGGGGGTGGCAATGCGAAGAATTCCCGAGTCGCTCTCATACCATGCTGCGATCAAAAGTTGATCGAACTCAGGATCACCTCAGGAAGGTTCGCACAGGACTTACTAGTGGTGGTGGGCACTTGACCTCAATAGCAGAGTGAATGTAAATGCTTGAGATAATAAAAACATGCAAGTACAGCACTATAAATAAGAATACAGGGGGATACCAATCGACCTAGCTAGCCATGTACTCTAAGGGGTACATTCCCTTATTACAGCGAACTCCAACCGTGCGACTCCATACTGTTACGAAAACTGTTCGGGCAGAATCGTCACCACTGCTGCTGCCTGATGCTGTCTGCTCGACGGTCCAGATGCTTTCGTAACCGTGCGACCCTTCGCGTCATTTCCGCCCTTTCGTCTTCAACCCCGGTAATGCGTGTTTCACTTGCTGCGGTGAGGAGTGCACAGTAATGTTTCAATAATTACTATTCGTAACACAGTCCACAGTAGTGTTGTAACATTGAACAACTTTGTGATGCAAACTAGGCAAAATGTTTTGATAGCTTGAACAGTTTGCAATATGGGAGATAAAAGCTTATCGTGTGCAACAAACTTGCCCACGTCGTCAATCGCGAAGCATGAGCTTTCGTTACAGCACAAGACGCGAACCAAACTCCTCGTCAACGTCCCTCTTCTGCAAGGGCGCTAGAGAACACATTTCCTTCGCGGACAAATAGGCACCCCCACTTTGCCGCCCCTGTATTCTACCTACTACACGTCCTACGTCAGCAACCCTAATTCTTAGCACTTTACCGTAGGTGTTTAGGGATAACTTGCAAAGGGCATTTGCCGCCCATAGGGGTTTATTTGCTTGCCCCGCATGCAGCGCTAGGCGACGTTGGAGTTTACTGCTTTCTTCAACGTGGAGAAGCTTCAACGCCTTCCGCAAGGTGTTTACTCGGGTTGATGCCTTCCGATGGCGTCCCGTCCGAACGGGTTGAGGTTTTGCTGCCCGCGGGCGGCAGCTCGTTGCGGTGCCAGCTAACGCTGACAACCATATGTTCCGAGAGCTTTCACATGGGTGGCAACGTTAGGTTCATCCGGGGTGCGACCAACGTAGCTGATCCACGTCGGCGCCCCTACTATGGACCCTTGCACCGCACCCCTAAACCTAAATCGTCAACCATTTGCGCCAAAATTGGACGGCGGCGAGTTCCGTGAAGCAGTGAGTGCCCCCTTCTCGGCATAGCTATGTTTCCTTCAGTTGTACCACCACATAGCTAGAACTGTGAGTTCTTTCAACATAGCCCACCCCCTGAAGGTAGATGATATTTTGTTTCTCCTGCACACCCTCCCGCTCCCACACATCGCGAGAATGGCTTACTATTCTCGGACGGCCGTCGTGTTTGCACTGCTGCTGCAAGCGGCGTCATCGGCGCATCGTCTCGTCGCGGGCTACTCTTGGCCGCTCAGTGAAGCAGCAAGCACCCGCCGCGAGATGGCCAAGGCGCCTGGTGAGTGTCCCACGCAGTCGCCTGCGCATCATCTCATCGGCGCGCCTCTCATCGTCCTCATCGTCGCATCATCTCATCGTCGCATCATCTCATCGCCGCATCGTCTCGTCGCCGCATCGTCTCGTCGCGGGCCACGTCTGGCCTCTCAGTGAAGCAAGCACCCGCCGCGAGATAGCCAAGGCGCCTGGTGAGCGTTCTAACGGACCAGTCGTCCGAGGGACTGCAGCCGTCACTGCAGCCGTCACTGCAGCCTTGTCTGAGGGACCAGCCGCATCTGGACCATCTTGTTTGCGTCAGCAATGCCGCCCATTCCATCCAAACTGTTTCTAAAGTTCAATCCTCCATGCCCCTACTACTCCACACGCCCGTGCCCTCTCCCCTCCTCCAGCCACATGCCCCAACGGCGTTGCCTGTCCGGAAGGCGCGTCATGCGCGGTGGACGGCCTCGGATTCCCCTTCTGCAAGTGCGCGGCCGGGCAGGCCATAATCAACGGCGTGTGCGCGACGGCCGCGAGCTGGACGGCGGTGGGCACGAGCGTGGCGCTCTACAAGCACGCCAAGTGCAAAGTCAACGCCAGCGACGTGGAACCGCTCGCGGTGCTGCGCGCGCCGCCACCCAACACTTCGACCTGCGTGACCGTGCCCAGCGGGTTCAATGGCACACTACTAGGGTGTCTGCGCATCCTGTGGAACGTGAATGACGGCGCGCCGGATCACCTGGTGTGCGGCAAGGTCGTGTTCTGGGACCAGCCTGACTGCACCGGCTTGAGTACGACGGTTGAGATTGCTGGCGGTTGGACCAAAACCAACCCTTCTAAGTTCAACACAGCCACCGAAATCCAGTGAGTGTGGAAGTGACAAGTGAATTGCACAGTCTGTGCCGCCCTTGCAGTGTTTCAGGTTCAGGATAATCCTGCGTTGACCGTGACTCTGCTTGCGTTGGCTGGACCGTGTGCAGGATGTCAAAACGTTTTGTCAAGACCCAGTCCTTGTCGTGTCTGGCTGCCGTCATGCCGCCTTTCGCGGGCCTCTGTGCCACGGCGTCATGCCCGACCAACTCCCAATGTACCCTCAAGAACAGCTCCTTCGCTCAGTGCACGTGCGACCCTGGACTCATCAGGGACGGCCCCGCATGCGTTGGTGAGTAGTGAGTCGTCGCCATGCCGGGGAGCATGGGATCATGGGATCGTGGGATGATGGGATGATGGGATGATGGGATGATGGGATGATGGGATGATGGGATGATGGGATGATGGGATGATGGGATGATGGGATGATGGGATGATGGGATCATGGAATCATGGGATGATGGGATGATGGGATGATGGGATGATGGGATGATGGAATCATGGATCATGGAATGATGGGATGATGGGATGATGGGATGATGGGATGATGGGATGATGGGATGATGGGATCTTGGGATCGTGGGATCATATCATGGGAGCTGAGTCATGGCAGTTTGCTCACGTGTGGAGGGGATGGTTTGAAGGTTTGCCGGTTTGCCAGCCTTCCCCTCTACAAAGCCATCCTGCCCGCAACTCTCTCCGTCTCTCTCCCTCTCTCTCCCTCTTTCTCCCTCTCTCTTCCTCTCTCTCCCTCTCTCTCCCTCTCTCTCCCCCTCTCTCCGTCTCTCTCCCTCTCTCTCCCTATCTCCCCCTCTCTCACTCTCTCTCCATCTCTCTCCCTCTCTCTCCCTCTCCCTCCCTCTCTCTCCCTCTCTCCCCCTCTGTCCAACGCCACATGCACGAGATGGCCTTCGCTCTCATTGGTCCTTCATCAGTCGCATTTCCCCTCTCCTTGTGGCCCTTGCTAGTCACTTTGATGTTTCATTCATTCACCGCTCCCACTCGTTTCTTCTCCCTTCGCCCCCCCCCCCATCACTCTCTATCCCGTTAATGTCTCCCGCATCCCTGCCTGTCTTTGATGTTTCTGCACCCTTGTATTTACAGCATGCTCAAGCACGCACTCGCGACGACACAAAAACATTGGAAACCGGTGGCACCCATAGCACGACGTCGAATGCTTTCCATTTTGGCAAAGCTTGCACTCTCTTTTCCAATCTCCCATTTGTTTCTGTTAATGCAGACCCGTGCTCTCTCAAGGATTGTGGCGAGGGTGGCACTTGTGTCAAGCTACCTAACAGGCAATTGTATTGTGATTGCAAGCAAGGCTACGAGATGGAGGGAGTCTCGGGGAGTTGCATTGGTATGTGTGCTTAGATTGGTGTGTCACTCTTTCTGTGTCACTCTCTCACTGTCTCACTCTTCACCTTCCCTTTCACTCTTTCCATCTCCACCTTCCCTCTCCCACCCCATCCTATCCCCTCCCCCTTCCTCCCCCATCCCCCAACCCCGCTCTTGCTTCCTTGTTCTCCCGCTTAAATCGCACCCGTTCTCAACTTTCCCCTTCCGGAAATTCTGTCATGCACAAGAGACACCAATTCCCTCCTCTTCCGTTATTTCCTCAAACCGCGCTGCACAAGAGTCATCAATTCCTCGCCTTCTATTATTTCCTCAACCCCGATGCTGCCTACAGGACAAGGCCAATGCAAGAACTGCCTTCAGAGCACCTTGGGCAGCAACTCTCTACCATACACTTACTGCGCCCCTGGCTTCAACATCCGCTCTGGCACTTGCGCGCCAGGTGGGTACGGTAGTTCTTGCGGGTTGTGCATGCCGCATGCGATCACCAGGGTAGTGCTTGCTTTCGATACGATACGATACGATACGATACGATGCAGGTGCTGTTTCACCTTTGCTTGAAAGAAGCATCTACTGCCAGCATCTTTCTAGCAGTCTTACACTTCCCCCTCTCTTTCCTCTCACGCACACACTCTCGTTGTCCTCCTCTCTCCATCACATAAACACAAAATCTCACCCCCCCTATTTACTGCCACCTGGCCTTTCTGCCTCATCGAGTCTCCTCTCCGACACTCCCCTTCGTCCAATCACCTCGCAGGCTTTCTTCCTGATGTGGCTGACGTCAGCATCAGCGTCTTCAGTTCATTAGGCTTCGGCACAACGAGTCCTCCTTATGTCTTCCGCCTGAAGCCCTTCACTTGTGTCACCATCCCTGACGCGGTTGTGACCACTGCCAAGTCGCTTGGCATTCTGTATCGTGCCCCTGGATCGTACATGCGATGCGCGGCGGTCGTCTATTACGTTCAGCCAAACTGTGGTGGAACGCCAATGAGAGCAGATGTGCCCGCTGGCAATGACATTACCGAATTAGCGCTGCCGTGAGTTTCTCTTTCTCTCTAATGGTCCTTGTATGGAATCACAGGTAGATACAGGCATGCAGGTGTGTCTTTCTCCCTCTCAAACGGTCCATGTATTAGATCCGAGCGAGTTTCTCTCTCTCTCTCCCTCCCTCCCTCTCCCTCATGTTCCCACTCTTTTTAGCCACAATTCCACACCATATGCATGAATGAACACCCAACTTTCTCTGCGTTTTTGCAAATATTTACTCTCTCCCTCCCTCCCGCCCTCCCTCTCCCTCATGTTCCCACTCTTTTTAGCCATAATTCCACACCATATGCAAGAACACCCAACTTTCTCTGCTTATTTGCAAATTTGTATCTTTCTCTCGACAGGGCTCTTGCGGGTTTGTCCCAATCTTATCAGTGCCTTTTGTGGTGACTTGGAAGCTCTGGCTAGGAAGACTTCAATATTTCAAAGTCCAACGAAGATTCGATGTCTGGTTGGAATGTTGGAAGAGGGCCATGGAGTTCGAATTCCAGCTGCATGGCATCGGCAGAAATGTCTTGGATGGTTATGTCAGAAAGAAGTAGAAAGTTTAGAATAAGAAAGAGGGTTTGCACTAGCAGCAGTTGGCATACATATAGGAAACCCTAATTGGGTTGTACTCGCTATACAGTACCCCACTGCAGGCTAGACAATAATAACATTCTGACACACCCCCATAACCAAAGTGGGGTGTAATCAGCACAATGAGCAAGCATAGCAGTAGTTCACAATTATAAGCAAAGCTACTGGTAGTCACAGCGGGCAAGTGAGGAGGAGGAGGGACTGTGAGAGGAGAGAAGATGGGAGACGACGGCTGAAGCTGCAGACACACAGGCAACAGGAGCGGCTGGCACAGTGGCTACCGGGACAGCGCCTCGGACTACTGGAGTAACTGGCTCACGGGCTACGAGGAGCTACAGGAGCAACGGACCCACGGGCGACAGGCGCAGCAGACTCTCTGGGCTACCAGGACAGCGCCCCGGACTACAGGTGCTGCGGACGACAAGACGGCAGCCTCCTCTCAGCCTCCCCAAACAGTCCCACCCCCCTGACACACACCCCCTGCAGAAACCCTAGCTTCACTTCCACGTCACCCCCCAAGCTCCACTCCCCGCGAATCCCACACCTCCACCCCCCTCAGCAGCAGCTGCAGCAGTGGGAGACGAACAAGGAGGAGGGGAACACCACACCCCCGTGCTTGCCACCCCGCACCCCCCACCACCGCAGAACGGACGGCGGCACGGGAGGAATGGGCAGCACAGGGGGGGGGGGGGGGGGACGGGACAGGAGGGGCCGCGCGCTCCTCCCCAGGGCGCCACGACGAGTGACGGGAGGGGGGGTCGCGCGGCCCCCCAGGGCGCCGCGACGGGCGACGGGAGGGGCGACGCGCGGCCCCCCAGGGTGCCGCGACGGGGCAGCGGGGGGTCGCGCGCGGCTCCCCAGGGCGGCGCGACCGTCGACGGGGCAGCGGGGGGTCGCGCGCGGTTCCCCAGGGCAGCGCGACGGGACGGCAAGGGCCGCGCGCGCCTCGCCAGGGCGCCACGACGGACGGACGGGGGGGCGCGTGCGCCTCGCCAGGGCGCCACGACGGGACGGAAGGCGCGCGCGCCTCGCCAGGGCGCGCCAGGAAGAAAACGGGCCGCGCGCCCGGAAGAAACCGAGTCGCGCGCCAAACAGGAAAACCGGGAAAAAAAATTCGCCGCGCGCTCCGCGCGCGGCAGGAAGAAAGGGTAGCGCGCCCGGGGCGCGCGACAGCAGTAGAGCAGCGGAAGCATATAGGTGGCGGGCCCACCCACAGGATCGACCCAAAGGGATCGACCTGCTCTGATAGCATGTCAGAAAGAAGAAGTAGAAAGTTTAGAACAAGAAAGAGGGTTTGCACTAGCAGCAGTTGGCATACATATAGGAAACCCTAATTGGGTTGTACTCGCTATAGAGTACCCCACTGCAGGCTAGACAATAATAACATTCTGACAGGTTAAACCTTGCAGTTGAACCCTTCTGCCAGCACCTCGCTCTCCCTACTTCCCCTTCTCTCCCCCTATTCTTCTAGCTATCACTGTCCTCCCCTCTGTCCTTTTCCTCCCTTTGATTTTCATTGAAATACAGTACAGTATTGTTTCGTTCCCATCCCATTATGGCAAAACTAGTAGCCTTTGACTTTAATGTCACCATCTTGGTGGGCTGGTCTTTTGATAGCATCATACTGTACCTGGTGGGCTGAACTTCTCACTCAGAACCTGGTGGGCTGAACTCTAAAAACTCTAATGGCTTGAGTCTTGACTACTTGATAAGATAATGAAGGGGAGCGGATTACACCATAGACAAGAACATAACAGCGTGTATTTTGTGTTTTGGGTACTACCGGTAGTTTTGGGGAGTAAATATAGTGCGGAGCAGTCCACACCATAGTATCAGCAACGTGTGGTAAGATCACACCACAGTATTTGCGTACTTGTTGGTGCAACCTTGGCAGGTCTCTCTAAAATATAATTAAAACAACCAAGGCACCTTGTCTTGTACCGTTAACACAATCCCAAGTTTTTCTATGGAACAAATACATTGTGATGTGATGTGAGCAATTCCCACTGGGCAGCTTCAGCTGGGGGTGGTTGACGCAGAGGCAACCTCGCCTGTCTGTGAGTCCGGCGCCACGAGTTGCTGCAAATCGGAGATGAGGACCTAACAGCCCTTAACTTGATGGCTGTGGGTCGGCACCACGACTTGCTGCAACCCCAACCGACCCTGGGCATCCGGATCGGAGGAGAGGCGAGCCTGTAGGTCCGGTGCAAGCAGGGCAGTGTATGCCTGCCCTTGATGGCAGGCAGGAGAGCAGAGGGCAGCAGACAGCGGGTTAAGTGTGACAGGGACCAAGCAAAACCATGGGGTGAAGGCAGGTGAGGAAACAGATTGCAAGGCAGCCATACCAAGGTAGAGTGGGAGGTACGCAAATGATGCCCCGCAGATGCACCAGCAGTACCTGCTACACCCCCCCATCCCCCCAGTGTGAACAACGAGGGTGGGGGGTACAGGGCCGGGGCCGGCCATTATAGGACCATGGCGGGGAACTGAACCACATGGGGGGAAGCAGACTGCTGCTGTCATGCAGGCTGTGTGCTCCCTTACTGCCCCTGATCCCCCAGCAGCAGCGTCCCCCCAACTGCCTACACTCCCCCCAGCCTGCACCACAAGGGTGGGTACAGGGCCGGGGGGGGGGGGCAGTATAGATACAATGGCGGGGAATTGAACCCACTGGGGGGATGCAGGCAGCTGCTGTGATGCAGGCTGTGCACGCCCGGGCTGCCCCTGCTGCCACTGCCGCCCCTGCTGCCACTGCCGCCCCTGCTGCCACTGCCGCCCCTGCTGCCATTGCCGTCCCTGCTGCCGCTGTGTCTGTCTTCTGCCTCCTCATGTCCCTGTCCCTGCCCCTGCTGCTGACCCCACTGCTGCCCCCGTTGCTCCTGCAACACTGCTGCTCTCGCACCCCCTCTCTTCCCTGCTGCTCCGTGCACTGCCTGCAGCTGCGGTTGCGACCGAGCCAGCATGTGCTGTGCTGTGCCTGCTGCATCTGGGCGGGGCTCATCTGCTGGTATAGCGCCTGCTGTAGCGCCTGCTGTAGCTGCACTTGCTCCGGCTGTAGCTGGAACTGCCCTACCCCTTGCTACTGCGGTGGCACCTGCTGGGGCCTCTGCCCTTCTGCGTGCCCCTGCCCTTGCGCCTGCGCCTGTCCATCCCCAACACCAGCCCCAGCCCTTCCTTCGTCCTTCCTTCTTCCTCCTCCGCCCCCACCTGCTCCTGCCCCTGCACCAACCCCACCCACTCCACCACCACCACCACCCGATCCGCCACCAGAAGCAGCAGCACTGCCAGCTTCGTTATATTCATAACGTATTTCAACCAGAGAAGGATCAGTATTACAGTAGTAACACAATCACAAACTCAAAGAAATAACTAAACCTGGACCCCAGCTGCCCTTTACTTCGATTCCAAGCACTTCCCCAGCTGCCCTTCACTTCAATCACATTCCGCCTGTCCTGAAGCGACTGTGGCAGCACTGTCCAAATCCACCTCCCTCAGACAGGACAAACTGCCCAAGTCGCTGGGCAGCGCACGTAATCCAGTGCACCCTCGTAGCGAAAGCTTGACAAGGGACGGCAGGAGGGGGAGAGTGGGCGGGACGTGCTGCAGACGACGCAGGTGCTCGAGCTTCAGGGATGCGAGGTGGGAGAGGGAGGAGATGGAATCTGGGAGGCTGGTGATCTGGGGACAGTCGACAATGCTCAGGCATATGAGGGAGGTCATGAGAGTGAGGGAAGGAGGAAGGCCTTGCAAGTCCGTGCATGATTCAAGATGCAAGCTGAGAACCTTCAGCTGCCCCAAGTTTTCGGGCAGGTGGGTAAGCAGCGGGAGCGACTTGATGTCCAGCCGTTCGAGATTGGAAAGGTCGGAGAGGCAGGCAGGAAGGAGTGACATGGCAGGGCACTCCTCTTGAACAAGTACTTTCAGCCCACTCATATCACTCAGGTTATCTGGGAGCGAAGGCAATCTGGTATGGCTGATGTGGAGGCAGGTGAGAGAGGAAAGGAGCTCCAATCTAGCTTGCGTACTGAATTCGGGGAGCCTAGGACTGGTGATCTCAGGAGGAACATGAGGCATGGCTTCCCCCTCCCTTTCAGCTGGAATTTGGTATAAGGTCGGAGGGGCTATCAGCTGCTCAAGGGCTTGAAGGCCGTGGATTTTCAGACTAGTGAGGCGGCTGAGAGAAAGAAAGAAGTATGGGAGGTAGCGAGCCATCTCAAAGGTGTCTGAAATGGAAATGGAGGTCAGGGAGCGTGGAAGGGAGATGGGCACAGCATGAGGCAGGGGGTCGGACGATCCAGTGAAGCACCAGACGATCTGGTCGCCAAATCTTGGCATGTAGCTGCAGTCTGCAAGCGTGAAATCTTCCAGCCTAGGCACCTCACCAAGGCCCGCTGGGAGGAATTGCAGATTGGTGCAGCTAGAGATCTTCAGGCGCTGGAGCGATGGGAGAGGAATATAGTTGACAAGATGGGCGTCGGGATCAGCAGCAGGAGGAGCACGAGCAGCAGCAATAGCAGCAGCAGCAGCAGCTTCAGTAGCTTCAGAAGAAGGGCCTGTTTCAAGGGTTTGAGCTAGAGTGGGCAGGAGCGACAGAAAGACCTGCAGATTCTTGCAGTTGGTCACCTCAAGCACTTTAAGGCTGGACAGATTACCCATGCCCATTGGTAACCCCTTTAGCAGCTGGCATCTGTCTATTATCAACTGCTCCAGATGGGTGAGATGAACGAAGGACCGTGGAAACCTAACAAGCCTACATGACCCGTGTAAGTCGGACTCGGTAACAGGCTCTGCTTCCTGATTCCTGGGACCAGAAGTTGAAAAAATGTCAACATCGAACCCTCTCCTGGTGTAAGAATCCCTGGTACCGATCTTTAATACTCTCAAGTTTCCCAAGCCTCCAAACTCGTCAGGTAATTCCCCGATGGCGCAGTTAAACAGCTCCAATCTACTCAGCTGCGGCAGCTTCTCAAACCCCGGAGGCAACTCTTCAAGATAAGGCGCACCATAGATCTCCAGAGTTTCCAGTGAAGAGAGGTTGGAGAAGGAGTCTGGGAGGTAATCCAGGTCGTAGCACGCATGCAGAATCAGCTCCCTCAGCTTCCCAAGCTGCCCGAAAGACTCGGGCAGATCCATAAGTTTGGAGCAAGACAGCTTCATAAAAGTCAAGTTTTGAAGCTGCCCAATGTCTTCGGGCAGCGCACTAACAGCACAGTCGTCGAGAACCAGGCTGGTCAGGGACCCCATGGCCGAAACAGACTGCGGGAAACCCTCCAAGTCGCAGCAGTCAACGATTTTGAGGCGACGGAGAGTCAGGCTTGCAGATAGGGAGCCTGGCAATTGCGTCAGTCGCGAGCAGGTGTGAAGGTATAATTCCTGTAGAGCGGGCAGCTGGCCGATGCTCTCAGGTAATGCGGCCAATGCCATCAGTCCATTCAGCTCCACTGTATCCAGATTGGGCAGTTGGTGAAGGTTTTCCGGCAGCCTGGTCAGCTGCGGGCAATGGCTGAGAGAAAGGCGCGAAAGGCTTGAAAGCTCGCAGATTGAATCTGGCAGTTCAGAAACTTTTTCTAGAAACATGAGGCTGATGAACTTCAAATTCTGGAGCAGCCCCAAATTACTGGGCAGATGGAAAATGTGGGAGCCGCTGAAGGTGAGTCGCTCGAGGGAGCTGAGACTGCATATGGAATCAGGTGACGTACTAAACGAACGCCCCGACTGAAACTGCAAGTCCTTAAGTCCCACCAGCCTGCCGAACTCCTCTGGTAACCTGGTAACGCCTTCGCTTAGCCTCACGCTGAGCCTCGTGAGCTGTTGCAGACGGCTGATGGCAGCCGGAATCTCCTGAACGCCGTCCAGCCGGAGATTGACCAATCGCGAGCAGGATTCGAAGATGGTGGCGACATCGGACGGTGAGAGGCTGGTCGACCGTTCATGGTCTCTGCTACGGTCGTGCTGCGTGGATCGCGAGACCCGTCGATCGCACAGGTACATCGTGAGATGCGTCAGGGACGAGCCGCATCCAGTGCAAATGGATCGCACGAGGTTGCTATCCATGGAGTCTAATGCGAACTCGCCGAGATGCAGATGAAGGAGATTCGGGAACCTAGATTCTGGTGGAGCGAGGAGGGAGGCAAAATCTTGTTAGGAGAAGAAGCGGTTGCAAGGCACGATGATGGCGGGATGCACGGAGCTGGCGACGCGCAGCCATCGCTTGCAGACCAGAGCGTGGCTGAACGTGACTAAGGAACAAGTCTCGGATGGAGGAACCTTAGTCGTGCCGAACCGATGGCTTTCGCATGGCGGCGGCTTCCGCAATGCACTCTCGATTTCCTTCTGAAGAACGTCTTCGTTATTAGCGAGCGAGTCACTGCTGTCAAGATTATTGATATTAGACGCAACAAAACGAAGGATCACACCCAGCAGGTCATCAGAAATGCGGGAAAAGATACCACTGATCATTTTCTGCTGCGTCACTGTAAACGGCTGGTTATGGCCTGAACAAAAGGCTGGTGATATATTTCTGCCGGTTTTAGCTTCATGCTTTCCTCAAATGCCAGCTGAGAGAAATTATGAAATGTGGTAAGGGCGTGTGAGAGGTGTCGCTTGCGATACAGAGAGTTGCTGCTGCTGTGCTTGTGAGTGAGTGCTTGAGAAGGCCTTGTTAGACTGGCGTCAAGGTGTCAACGAGATGTGGCGGGAAACCAGGCTTGTCATATGTTCACAGGCGACCAGGCTGGTTTGGAATGGCTTTGGTTGGGATGGTTTGAACGTGGGCTGGCTTGGCGGGAAATCAGGCTCGTCATAAGGTCGCAGGCGACCAGGTTGGTTTGGAAGTATCTGGTTTCCGTTGGCTTTGATTGAACGGAAATTATGTCAGTCGTAACGAAAATGGGGCTCGGTAACGCGTACGATAACCCGATCGGGCAAACGGTCACTATATCGGAAGTTTTCGCGTGTTTGGTAAGTGGTGTAACGCGTTTGGTCACTAATACCTGGCGCTGAATCACGCGAATGGTCACAGATGAAACCCTCGACCGATCTGACGGCTCAAATTCCAACTTTTCGGTTCGCTTTCCTGGAGCGTCGATTTTTCTGAAACAATGTGTTCCGTCGGATCTGAAATGTATCGATCGAACGGCCCAAGATCCAACTTCACACTCTATGTGCAATTACCCTACGCGCTGGGAAGGATAATTATTTATTCGCTAAAACAAATAAAGTTTAATATCAAAGTCATCAGCTACCAGTAGAGAATCAAAATGTCTTCTAACACTCTTCGACTTCATTTACCAGGTGAACCCAATAGGTGTTCCAGGTGGTATTAAATTCGTTAATAGTTGTGGGCTAGAAAGGGTATTCAACAATCCTTAGTTTTAATCAGGGTGTAAAACAGAGTATGCAACGGTGAGCAATACGTGAGCCGTTCGATCTGAAATTGTTAGATCCGACAGCTTAAACTAAATCGTGGGGAATCGACGCTCCAGAACAACGATTAGAAAGTTGGAATTAGAGCCGTCAGATCGGTCGAGGGTTTCATGTGATTCAGCGCCAGTTATTAGTGACCAAACGCGTTACACTACTTACCAAACACGCGAACACTTCCGATGTAGTGACCGTTTGCGCGATCTGGTTATCGTACGCGTTACCGAGCCCCATGTTTGTTACGATTGACATAATTTCCCTTGATTGGAATGGGTTGCAGATGGTTTGGTTTGGTATGATTGGTTAGTGGTTTTGGACGAGTGGCAAGCGGGAAATATCTTGAGGTCCCGAATTTTGATATCTGGCGAGAGACATTTGTAACCCTAAGGGCGGTTCACGGTATTTCGTTTGGCGTTCGTTTGCCACCCTGCGAAGCGTTGAAGCACGGCTAGAAACTATAGCTGTTTTTCACCGCTTGAGACCATTGAGCACCAGATTGAACCTTTGTAAACGAATGAAACATGACGCACCCAACACCAGCACACTCAAAACTCCCAGTCTCCAGTCCAGTGCTTCCGCGTCACCATTTGAAGCATAGATGTGCGGTGAGGTTCGACCCACACCACACCCCCAGCAAGCAAGAATATCGTGGTGTCTCAAAAGACCATGGAACTGGATTCTAGACTGAGTGGACTCTATACCATCATGCTATGAGTTCAGGGTTGTAATGAGCTTGTTTTTTTGCTACTTAGTACTTGACATCTGCTAAATTATCGGCCCTATGGGTACCATTGAGCTAGCGCAAGGGGAAATGCCACAGCAGCCATGGGCCCCTGGTCAGCCAGAACGCCGGCAACGAATTAGCAGCCATGATGATTCCTTTTCAAGTATTTCTGACGATCTTCTAGAAACTATTCTTCTCCTCGTCGCATCTAAGGGCACCAAGTTCGATGACTGTCCCACTAACGAGCCCATTCTGCAAAAAAGGATCGAGAACGCGTTGAAAGAGCACCTGCCGAGCGAAAGCGTCTTGTTCGGGTTACCCGAGGCTCCTGTCGCCACAGCCTCATCGCTCACTGCTTTCCGCCACGCTCTGGTCTGCAAGCGATGGCTACGCGTCGCCAAATCCGTGCATTCCGCCATCGTCGTGCCTCGAAACCGCTTTTTCTCCGCACGAACTCTCGCCTCGCTCCTGGTCTCACCCACCTCGGGATTCCCGAACCTTCGCCATCTGCACCTCGGCGAATTCGCGACGGACGTCGTAGATCGCCAGCTCGTGCGATCCATCTGCGACGGATGCGGCTCGTCGCTGACCCATTTCACAATGCACCTGTACGGTCGCCAACCAGTGACGTCCGGTATTCGTAGGACAAGCTATCAGTCAATATCGAGCACGCAATCGGTCCGTAGTAGCCGCGGGAATCAGTCGACCAGCGTTGCATCGATCACGGCCTCAGATGTCGCCGAAATCTTCAATTCCTGCACGCGATTGGTCAATCTGGATCTACGGCTGGGAAAAGGTGTTTGCGATATCCCACCTTCCATCAGCCGCCTACAGCAGCTCACGCGCCTCAGCATGAGCTTCAGTAACGTTACCGGGTTACCGGAGGAGCTGTTCAGCCTGTTGGGACTGAAGCAGTTACACATCGTGTCGCAGTCTCTTCGCGTGCTGCCTATTCCGAACCGCTCTCTCATCTTTCTGGAGCACCTCTCGCTTCGCAACTGCCCTATAGGCCATCTCCCGAGCGACTTCGACCAGCTTCGTAGCATCAAGGTTCTCAGCCTATCATATCTGCCACGCCTTGCTGCACTTCCAGAATCCATCTGTCAACTGCCAGCGCTCTCCCACCTTTCTCTCGACCACTGCCCCCGGTTCGCCAGGCTGCCAGCGAATCTTTTCCAGCTGCCCGGCCTAGATACGCTGCATCTAGACAAACTGGCTGCTTTCACCGCGCTTCCAGATCCGTTCGGCGGGCTGCCCGCTGGCCAACCCTTGGGATCTCCGGCCCTCCGGCGTCTCTCCATCCACAACTGCTCACGCCTATCCTCGCTGCCCGAAGCTATCGGCCAGTTTTCCTCTCTCCAGCAGCTGCATCTGAAGTTCCTTGATTGGCTTACGGCTCTTCCGCATTCCCTGGGGTTCCTTACGGCGATGAAGGAGTTGAAAGTGGTTTAGTGCGTCAAGCTCGTGAACCTCCCCGAGTCCGTATCCGCAATGGGAGAACTCACAAGCCTCATTCTTGACGGCTGCTGTTTTTTCGGCCTGCCCAGAGACATCGGGCAGCTCCAGAACTTGGTTACAGTGAAGCTGTTTTCCAAACGTCTTCTTCACCTGCCTGACTCGTTCGGGCAGCTGGGGCAGCTGAAAGAGCTGACCATATACGAATGCTACGACTTCTTCCACCTCCCTGCCTCCTTCACCAACCTCTCTTCACTAGAAACCCTTCTCATTTATGGTGGATCCTCGCTCAGGGAGTTGCCGCTGGGTTTTGAGAAGCTGTCGAAGCTACAGCGACTAGAGCTGCTAAACTGCGGCATGACGTACCTGCCTGATAGGTTCGGGGAGCTGCCGAGCCTGGAAATCCTCAAACTTCAAACGACCGGCACGTACAGAAGAGTCGGGGTTAATTTCGAACCTGCCCCACGGCCCGCTCATCTGGGGTATGAGAGCGAAGGCGAGGAATTTCAACTGGACGGATCCTGCACTCTACAGGGCTTCCCCTCCTCCTTCAGCCTGCTCACGCGCCTGGAGCAGCTGATTATCGATGGGTGTGAGATGCTGGAGGAGCTTCCAAGCGGCATGGGCAATCTGCGCAGCCTGAGGGTTCTGAAAGTGGAGAATTGCGAGCGTCTGAAGGTCTTCCCGTCCTTCTTGCCTTCTGCAGCCGTTGTTGCCCCAGCTGCTGGACCTTCTGCTTCTGCTGCCGCCTCCTCTGCTGCTGCCACATCCTCTGCTGCTGCTGCCTCCTCTGCTGCTGTCACCTCAGCTGCTGCCACCTCAGCTGCTGCCACCTCAGCTGCTGCCACTTTATCTGCTGCCACTTCAGCTGCCGCTACCTCCTCTGCTGATACATCCTCCTCTTCTACCACCATCACTCCACTCCCACTGCTTGAAGTGCTGGAAATTTCTTCCTGCCCGAAACTAACAAACCTTCCAGAGGGCCTGCATCTGCTGCCTAGCCTGACGCAGTTCCACCTCGAATACTGCACCAGCTCTAAACTGGCCAACCTTAGCACCCGCTTAGTTTCTCCACTCCCCTCCTCCTCCTCCTCCTCCTCCTCTTCGATCTCCCCTTTAATAGCACCTATCACCCTTCCATGCTCTGTAGAGTCAGTGATCATTTCAAATGTCTTCAAGTCAGCTCACTACCTCCCAGAATCCTTCCTTTCCCTCGACCGCCTTCTTCACTTGAACCTATATGACCTCCGATCCCTCAAGCAGCTTATAGCCCCCCCATCCCTCTCCCAAACCCCAGACAAAGCCGGAGCTGACGAGAAATCCACACCTCTTGCTCCTCTGAACGAGCTTTCGACAATGCCTGGATCTATCGGGCACGCGGGGTTGGGGCGCCTGTCGGCTCTGGTGCACCTTCACATAGTCAACACCAACCTCCCCTCACTTCTGGACAACTTGGGAGATTTGAAAGAGCTGGCGGTGCTGCTGCTAGAGAAGTGCCACGCCATGACATCCCTTCCTGCCTCCATGGCTTCCCTTCCCAAACTGCAGCAGATTGATCTCAAGTCCCTTCCTCTGCTGACTTACCTGCCTGAGAATCTCGGGCAGCTGAAGGCACTCAATGAGCTGGGTTTGGATTCGTGCAAAAGCCTGCAGGACCTTCCGTCCTCCTTCACTCTGCTCTCCTCCCTCATAATGCTGAGCATCATCAACTGTCCTAAGATCACCTGTCTTCCAGATTCCCTCGCCTCCTTCACCCGCCTTTCCTCTCTGAAACTCAATCGTCTGCCCAAGCTACAGTTACTCCCTTCTCCGTTCTCCCTCCCATCACTAATCCAAGTCTCGCTGCAAGAATGCAAGGCACTGAGGGCTCTGCCCAGTGACTTGGGCAGTTTGTCCTGTCTTAGGGAGGTGGATCTGGACGGGTGTAAGCAGCTGAAGGAGCTGCCTCAATCGCTGGTGGATAGGGTGAATGTGATTGAAATGAATGGTTCTTGGGGAAAAAGCTGTGATTTGGAGGTTCCTGTTTGGTAGAGTAGAGAGGGATACGGTAATGCATGTAGATACCGTATTAGTGGAGCAGGGTTGGCTTCGAAGCTGGGAACCTATTATCAGTATTGGCATTTGTAGCTGCTAATCAGCTGAGAGGGGGGTAGCATGGCTTTAGTCCGCTGGCCAACTTTTTTTGTTACTGGTATGTGATTCGAACTTTGTCTTGCACATAAACGTACTCACTTTTTTGGAAACAACTTGTGGCATGGCAGGAGATTGTGCGGGCTGGGCTAGAAGTATTGAAAAGGTAGAGGCAGTTGTGACTACATTCTGTAATGCCTCCTTTCAGGTCCCCGAAAGTACACTTCAACCGCCGATTACTCTTACCGTACCGGTATCATTCTTGAGCGGTGCCTTCTCTGCACCGCTTGGAACCGCTCGCTACTACTGAACCGCCCGAATACCAAGCCTGCTGCGAGAATCTCCACAACCATCTCTCGTGCGCATTTCTTGGGAACGTTTCAAATCTCAATCAAGGCGGCTCAGGCGGCTGCATCTTCGGCGTTCGATTATCTATACTGGCACCGCACGATATGACGTGTGGTGATCATTTCTCCCTGTTCTCTGATGACCTGCTTGGCTCGATCCTTCTTCTCGCCGCGTCTGCTACAACCACCAGATTCGACGGCCACGATTTTGAAGATAGTAACGAGGACATTCTGCGAGAGGCGATCGACAAGGCATTGCACGAGCCCCTGCCGTCGGAGAGTGCGTGGGTTGACACCACGCGCGATGCACGTGTGGTTACCGCGTCTTCGCTCGTCGCATTTCGCCACGCTCTCGTGTGCAAGCGATGGCTGCGCGTCGTCAGAGCCGTGCATCCCGCCATCGTCGTGCCCTACGATCGTTTTTTCTCCGCACGAACTCTCGCCTCGCTCCTCACCTCACCCACCTCGGGATTCCCGAACCTTCGCCACCTGCACCTCGGCGAATTCGCGACGGACGTCGTAGATGGCCACCTCGTGCGATCCGTCTGCGACGGATGCGGGTCTTCCCTGACGCATCTCACGATGCATCTGTACGATCGACGGCTGGCGACGCGCGTTCAGGAAGGCGAAAGCAGAAGCGCGGCGCGGAACGGCCTCGCGGCAATCTCGACCTTTGATGTCGATCAAATCTTCAACTCCTGCAGGCGATTGGTCAATCTGGATCTACGGTTGGCGGACGGCGTTCCCACGCTGCCTCCTTCCATCAGCGGCCTGCAGCAGCTCACGAGGCTCAGCATGCGATCAACCTACAGCGTTACCGGGTTACCAACGGAATTTGGCTGCTTGTTGCGATTGAAGCGGCTGGAGTGTATTTTGGAATCCCTTGAAGCTCTGCCCGATTCCATCTGCGATCTGAAGGCTCTGGAGCATTTGGAGCTGCAAAGATCCCCTTTGGCCCACCTGCCCAAGGATTTCGGGCAGCTGCGAAACCTGAAGAGCCTCACTCTCGCGTTCATAGAAGGTCTTCGTGAGCTGCCCGAATCCTTCTGCGAGCTGCCATCCCTCATGCGGTTTTCTCTCGAGTGCTGCTATGAGTTCGTCAGGCTGCCCGAAAACTTCCATCAGCTATCAAGGCTAGAAGCGGTAGAATTCTCGAATCTATCCGCCTTCACTTCATTTCCTGATTCATTCGGGCAGCTGCCCGCTCTGCAAGAGTTCTGGCTTCAAAACCAATGGAATTGCTCGCAGCTCCCAGCCTCCTTTTGCTCCAGTCAATCCCTCCGCCGCTTCACCATCAACAACTGTGAAAGCATGACCACCCTGCCAGAAGATTTCGGCCGAATCTCCACTCTAGAGTACCTGAATCTGGAAATGTCTGCAAATTTCCGGGTTCTTCCGGATTCTATCGGCCTTCTTTCTCAACTGAAGGGGCTCACTGTGATTGACTGTTGGGAGCTTTCGGCTTTCCCACAGTCCGTCTCCGCTATGGAGTCACTCACAAGCCTCGTGCTTGACGGCTGCGTCCTTCACGAGCTGCCCGGAGACATCGGGCAGCTTTCGAACCTGGTTTCACTGAAGCTGGCCAGTAGCGAACTTGTTAGGCTGCCCGACTCGTTCGGGCAACTGGGGAAGCTGAAGGAATTAGTATTCATGGAATGCAACAGCCTGCTTGAGCTTCCAAACTCCTTTGCCAATCTCTCCTCCTTGGAAACCCTTTTCATCTACGGTGGGGCTTCTCTAGTAGACCTCCCTCCGGGTTTTGAAACCCTCCCGAAGCTGCGTACGCTCTACCTCTTCAACTGCGTCTTTGCGAGCCTGCCGGACAGGTTCGGGGACCTGCCGAGCCTGGAAGTTCTCAGGATCGGGACCAAGGCAACGTACAGCAGGAACAGGCTCGAGACAGGCAGCGAATCGGATTACGGAAATGAGCTGGAAGGCGCGTGCGCGCTCCACATGCTTCCCCAGTCCCTGGTTCGCCTCACAGGCCTGGTAGAGCTCGTGTTGGAGGGGTGTGAGATGCTGGAGGAGTTGCCAGCAGGCATGGGGGGGCTGGCCGGCCTTAGAGTGCTCCAGGTGACGAATTGCCCTCAGCTGCGGCTCTTCCCGTCGCTGTTATCCACGCCCAGTCACACCACTGCAGGAGATTCTTCTACTCTGGATTCTGACCCCCCTCCACCTCCTCCTCCTCCTCCGCCTGCTGCTGCTGGTGCTGGGCCTGCTGCTGCCGCTGCTGCTGCCGCTGCTGCTGCTGCTGCTGCTGCTGCTGCTGCTGCTGCTGCTGCTGCTGCTGCTGCTGCTGCTGCTGCTGCTGCTGCTGCTGCTGCTGCTGCTGCTGCCACTCCTGGTCCCCCATTGCCATTGCTGGAGCAGCTGGAGATATCTGACTGCCCGCGCCTGGAGAGCCTCCCAGAGGGCCTGCATCTGCTGCCTAGACTGGAACACCTCGCTCTTGAAGACTGCCCCAGTCTAAAGCCCACACACCAGAGCGCCTTGCCACCACCTGCATCCCCGCCCCCACACTGCAACACCTTCCTGTCCGTACTCTCCCCACCATCGACCTCCTCCTCCTCCCGTCCTCTTATTGCCCCTATCTCCCTTCCGAGTTCCGTGAAAACCATCATTCTCTCAAATGTCTTCCAGTCAGCCCACTACCTCCCAGAGTCTCTTCTTTCCCTCGGCCAACTCACCCACTTGAACATCTACGACCTTCCATCTCTCCAGCAGCTGATAGCCCCTCCGCTTGTAACCCAGTCCTCAGCCCACGCCCAAGCCACCCCTGACGACCAGTCTGAAAGATTTGATTCCGATTCTGATGTGCCGGCTAGATTGGATCTCCTGTCTTCCCTGCAGCATCTTCACATCGCCCTCTCCAACCTCTCTGCACTCCCCCAAACCTTGGGCAATCTGGTGCAGCTGAGAGTGCTGCTGCTAGAGGAGTGCCCTGCCATGACCTCCCTTCCCGCCTCCCTCACTAGCTTCTCCACTCTCCAACAACTGACACTCAAGTCCCTCCCCTTGCTGACCCACCTGCCTGAGGATATCGGGCAGCTTAAAGCCCTGCGCGATCTGAGCCTAGAGTCCTGCCAACCTCTTAAAGCCCTGCCGCCCTCCTTCACCCTCGTCTCCTCCCTCATGCGTCTCACCATCGTAGACTGTCCTAACTTCACCCACCTCCCGGATTCCATCTCCTCTCTCTCCAGCCTTGCCTCTCTCACACTCAAACGCCTAGCATTCCTCCGCCGCCTCCCCTCCCCTCTCTCCCTCCCGCGCCTCATCAACCTCTCCCTGCAAGGATGCAAGCGGCTGAGGGCTCTGCCCTGCGACTTGGGCAGTTTGTCCTGTCTGAGGGAGGTGGATCTCGACGGGTGTACGCATCTGGAGGAGCTGCCAGTGTCGCTGGTGGATCGTATGAATGTGATTACAGTGAAGGGTTCTTGGGGATGGCACCTGTAGGTTCCTGCGATGTAAGAGGTGCTATCTGGGATGGGGGCATATAGGATAAAGTGATGAAAGTGGAGGTGTACATGGGGAAAGGAGGAGGAGCCTGTAGTGTGCGCCATGTGCAGAGGGAAGTATCGATTGGCGAGTCTTGCTGAGATCTATGGTATGGCTGAGGTTAGGGAAGCAAGCAAACCTTGTCCAACCTTTGTGTTGCACTTGTGCTGATTGTCAAATGGCTCTCTATTCTAAGTCCTACCCTTAAAGCTCTGGTATACATTTGAAAGGAGGGGTTCAAAAACCTTAGGAACTTGAAAAGTTGCCCCTAAACTGTGAGGCACACTATACAAACCCGAAACCTCGCTGACAAATGTATACTAGACTTTTGTGGAAGCACATTATCCTCCTGGTTTGTCTGTCTGTGAAAGTCCAGACAGGACCTCTGGTCTGGTGCCTACAAGGTCAAGCCGCGTAACTCACAGAAGGCACTGCTAGTAAGTACCTCGATAAAGTCGCCTCGCCAATGATGGGCAAATGCTCAGCACGCTGGGAAGAAACCGTGAGTCAAATCATAAGCTGGTATCCCTTGTTGAGCATGCACTCAACTTGAATGGTTCAAGCTGCGTCACTCGGTGAACGCACTGCTAAGCGCCTCAATCACATCACCAATGGTGGGGTGCTCTCGCACGCTGGGAATGGCCCTTGAGTTGACTCGAACGTTACACTACATCACTCGGTGAACGCACTACTGAGCGCCTCGATAACATCCCCAATGGTAGGGAAGTGCTCTCGCACGCTGGGAATGCTGGCAGCATCTGGTCTGGAGCCGCCACCAGTGATGGGTAGAGCCAGGAGGAAACAAAGGCTAGTGATATTTACAGGGTCAAGCTGCATGCATCACTCAGTGAACGCACTACTGAGTGCCTCGATAACATCGCCGATGGTAGGGAAGTGCTCTCGCACGCTGGGAATGCTGGCAGCATCTGGAGCCACCACCAGCGATGGGTAGAGCCAGGAGGAGACGCTGGTGATGAATATGTCGGATGAGGGGCAGAGGATGGACTCCCAGTCCACCTGCATGTGGCACCAAGGGGCATGAGAGGAAGGGCGGTAAGGAAGTGAGAGGCATTGACAGCCGCCACCAACGATGGGTAGAGCCATGATGAGACGCTGGTGATGAATATGTCGGAAGAGGGGCAGAGGATGGACTCCCAATCCACCTGCATGCAGCAGAGGGTGGTTGAAGGGAATGCAGAACGGGCAAGAGAGGTCAGGGTGGAGGGAGAGGGAGTGGAGAGTGGGGCTTCAGACACTGGTGATGAATATGTGGGATGAGGGGCAGAGAATAGATAGACTCCCAGTCCACCTGCAGGCAGAAAAAAAAGTATAAGAAGATGAATGTTAAGCCCCTGGTGAACTGGGGGTACTGCCCCTTCGAACTTGTGATAAAAAAGGTTACTGCATTGCCCATCCCTCACTGTGTGGGGTAACTGCCTGCACACCCCGGATTAACAGGGGTACTGTCCTGCACGCCCCTGGGAATCGGCTGTGAGACTTCGAGGTCAACCTGCACAACCTGGATAAAGAGAGGATACTGACCTGCACACCCTTGATTAAGAGAGGATACTGACCTGCACACCCTTGATAAAGAGAGGATACTGACCTGCACACCCTTGATTAAGAGAGGGTACTGACCTGCACACTCTTGATAAAGAGAGGATACTGACCCGCACACCCTTGATTAAGAGAGGGTACTGAACTGCACATCCTTGATAAAGAGAGGATACTGACCTGCACACCCTTGATTAAGAGAGGGTACTGACCTGCACACCCTTGATTAAGAGAGGATACTGACCTACACACCCTTGATTAAGAGAGGGTACTGACCTGCATAACCTTGATTAAGAGCGGGTACTGACCTGCACACCCTCAATAAAGAGCGGGTACTGACCTGCACAACCTTGACAAAGAGAGGGTACTGAACTGTACACCCTTGGCAAAGAGAGGATACTGACCTGCACACCCTTGATCAAGAGTGGGTACTGACCTGCACACCCTTGGCAAAGAGAGGATACTGACCTGCACACCCTTGATCAAGAGTGGGTACTGACCTGCACACCCTTGGCAAAGAGAGGATACTGACCTGCACACCCTTGATCAAGAGAGGATACTGACCTGCACACCCTTGGCAAAGAGAGGATACTGACCTGCACACCCTTGATCAAGAGAGGATACTGACCTGCACGCCTCTAGCAATGGGCTGCGAGACTCGAAGGTCGACAGCGAGCAGGAGGGCGAGGGTCATGACATATCCGTTCATGGCTGTGCCGCGTGCCAACGGCATGAAGTTGTACCTGATAGGGGTGGGGGGCAGTAAGGAGAGGAGAGATATATGGGAGAGGGGAAGGGTCATGACATAGCCGTTCATGGCCGTGCCGCGTGCCAAGGGCATGAGATTGTACCTGAGATGGATGGTGTGAGGGGTAGTGGGGAGAGAGGTATGGGAACAGGGGAAGGGTCTTGACATATCCGCTCATGGCTGTGCCTTGTGCCAAGGGAATGAAAATTGTACCTGCAGTGATTGGTGGACGGTATGGGAGCAGGAGGGGATATGGGGACAGAGGGAAGAAGATTTGAGACGCATGAAAGGACAGTAGCGAGCAGGAGGGCGAGGGTCATGACATAGCCGTTCATGGCTGTGCCGCGTGCCAAGGGCATGAAGTTGTACCTGAGGGGGTTGGCAATATGGTAGGGGAGCCAAGCAGCTTGTCAAAGACGTTAGGGCCAGACGGGCCCATTGTCACAGGCAAATGTTCTGACAAGACATAACCGAAAACGCTCTGTGAGACATTTCACCATGAACCTTTCAGTTTTTTCACTGCCATATGAGTCATGCCTGGTTTGACCCAGAAGGTAAGCAACAGCTGTCAATGCTGCTTAACCCACCAGTAGTAAGCCATTCTCAGTATGTTGTCTTGAATCGCCTTGCGGTAGGCCTGAGGGTCCGAGTCACGGAGAGACGTGTGTGCCACGGCCAGACAGATGTCCTGTAACAAGGGAGATTGAGATACAAGAGAGATAGAGGTGGGATAGAGATGAACTTGCAGGCAGTGAAAGGTAGTGTTGGAGATTCATCCTCTGTTGCTTCCCGTGGCTTGCCTTCTCCTTCCCGGACTCACCCTCGCTCCCTTCTTCTTCTGAGCTCTGTTCCTGTGATACCTTACCTGCTCTGCCTCAGCCACTACCACAGCTGGCTACCAAGAGTGGTGTCTGTCACCTGGCTGCTGTAGCTCTAGAACGGTAACATAAGTCCACTATGCACTGGTAAACAAACAAGAGAACGAACTAAGCAGTGAGTTCCTAGCCTATTTGAGTCTCTACCCCGTGCCGTGCAGTTTCCCGTAAGTCACATTGGGCTCCGCCCGCTAGGCTTCAGATTGGCCCTTCGGATTGCCCAGGGCTCGCCCTTGAATTTGTCCCACCCTGCGCCTCGCAAGTCCCTTGGTCACCACTTCGCGTCACTACCCACGCACCAAACTCACCTTCTACAGTACTTCGATTCACCCTACTACACCTACACTAGCGAGTAACAGAATATATTGCAAACAACAATCTATTCGGTGACAGTAGAGACTGGCGGTTGGTTGGTGCCACGGACACGGAAAGACGTGTGCGCCTCTGCCAGAAAGATGTCCTGTGAGGGAGAGGGGGGGGAATGAGATCAGATAGACATAGGCGAGCAAGTGAGAAGGGAAACGTGAATAGATAGAGGCAGCATCGCGGGCAGTGAAAGGCAGAGATCGAGGGTCTGTGTCACGGAGAGATGGGCAGCTTGCGTGAAAGATAGGTTCCCGCCACCAGAGGATCTGATAGTATCAGATCTGATCGTATCAGATCCTTTAGCATCTGAAAACGCCAACCATACCATGGTGCAGCAACGCCAGGGAACACATGGCATGGCATGCCATGCCATCCCAGGCCATGCCATGCCCTGCTTGCCATCCCATGCCATGCCACGCAATGCCACGCCATGCCACGCCATGCCATGCCATGCCATGCCATCCATCCCACCTTCCACACAGCCGCCATCTCCATGTCAAAGTCTCTCCACCAGCCGTGCGTCAGCTCAATGCAAAAAGTGCCAAACATAACACCACACAGCACACACCACACCCCACACACCATGCACCATGCACCACACACCACACCCCACACACCACACACCACACACCACACACCACACACCATGCATGCACCATGCACCACACACCACACACCATGCATGCACCATGCACCACACACCACACCCCACACACCACACACCACACACCACACACCATGCATGCACCATGCACCACACACCACACACCATGCATGCACCATGCACCACACACCACACACCATGCATGCACCATGCACCACACACCACACACCACACACCACACACCACACACCACACACCACACACCACACACCACACACCACACACCACACACCACACACCACACACCACACACCACACACCACACCCCACACACCACACACCACACACCACACACCACACACCATGCATGCACCATCACCACACACCACACACCATGCATGCACCATGCACCACACACCACACCCCACACACCACACACCACACACCACACACCACGCATGCACCATGCACCACACACCACACACCACACACCACACACCACACACCATGCATGCACCATGCACCACACACCACACCCCACACACCACACACCACACACCACACACCACACACCACACACCACACACCACACACCACACACCACACACCACACACCACACACCACACACCACACACCACACACCACACACCACACACCACACACCATGCATGCACCATGCACCACACACCACACCACACACCACACCACACACCACACACCACACACCACACACCACACACCACACACCACACACCATGCATGCACCATGCACCACACACCACACACCACACACCACACACCACACACCACACACCACACACCACACACCACACACCACACACCACACACCACACACCATGCATGCACCATGCACCACACACCACACACCACACACCACACACCACACACCACACACCACACACCACACACCACACACCACACACCACACACCACACACCACACACCACACACCACACACCACACACCACACACACACCACACACCACACACCACACACCACACACCACACACCACACACCACACACCACACACCACACACCACACACCACACACCACACACCACACACCACACACCACACACCACACACCACACACCACACACCACACACCACACACCACACACCACACACCATGCACCACACACCACACACCACACACCACACACCACACACCACACACCACACACCACACACCACACACCACACACCACACACCACACACCACACACCAGCATGCACCATGCACCACACACCACACACCACACACCACACACCACACACACACACCACACACCACACACCATGCATGCACCATGCACCACACACCACACACCACACACCACACACCACACACCACACACCACACACCACACACCACACACCACACACCATGCATGCACCATGCACCACACACCACACACCACACACCACACACCACACACCACACACCACACACCACACACCACACACCACACACACACCACACACCACACACCACACACCACACACCACACACCACACACCACACACCACACACCACACACCACACACCACACACCACACACCACACACCACACACCACACACCACACACCACACACCACACACCACACACCACACACCACACACCACACACCACACACCACACACCACACACCACACACCACACACCACACACCACACACCACACACCACACACCCACACACCACACACCACACACCACACACCACACACCACACACCACACACCACACACCACACACCACACACCACACACCACACACCACACACCACACACCACACACCACACACCACACACCACACACCACACCACACACACTACACCACACACCACACACCACACACCACACACACACACCACACACCACACACCCACACACCACACACCACACACCACACACCACACACCACACACCACACACACCACACACCACACACACTCACACACCACCACCACACACCACACACCACACCACACACCACACACCACACACCACACACCACACACCACACACCACACACCACACACCACACACCACACACCACACACCACACACCATGCACCATGCACCACGCACCACACACCACACACCACACACCACACACCACACACCACACACCACACACCACACACCACACACCATGCACCACACACCACACACCACACACCACACACCACACACCACACACCACACACCACACACCACACACCACACACCACACACCACACACCACACAACCACACACACACACCACACACCATGCATTGCACCATGCACCACACACCACACACCACACACCACACACCCACACACCACACACCACACACCATGCATGCACCATGCACCCACACACACACCACACACCACACACCACACACCACACACCACACACCACACACCACACACCATGCATCACCATGCACCACACACACACACCACACACACACACAACGACCACACACCACACCACACAACACGCACCACACACCACGCACCACGCACCACGCACCACGCACCACGCACCACGCACCACGCACCACGCACCACGCACCACGCACCACGCACCACGCACCACGCACCACGCACCACGCACCACGCACCACGCACCACGCACCAGCACCACGCACACGCACCACGCACCACGCACCACGCACCCACGCACACGCACCACGCACCACGCACCACGCACCACGCACCACGCACCACGCACCACGACCACGCACCACGCACCACGCACCACGCACCACGCACCACGCACCACGCACCACGCACCACGCACCACGCACCACGCACCACGCACCACGCACCACGCACCACGCACCACGCACCACGCACCACGCACCACGCACCACCACAGCACCACGCACCACGCACCACGCACCACGCACCACGCACCACGCACCACGCACCACGCACCACGCACCACGCACCACGCACCACGCACCACGCACCACGCACCACGCACCACGCACCACGCACCACGCACCACGCACCACGCACCACGCACCACGCACCACGCACCACGCACCACGCACCACGCACCACGCACCACGCACCACGCACCACGCACCACGCACCACGCACACGCACCACGCACCACGCACCACGCACCACGCACCACGCACCACGCACCACGCACCACGCACCACGCACCACGCACCACGCACCACGCACCACGCACCACGCACCACGCACCACGCACACGCACCACGCACCACGCACCACGCACCACGCACCACGCACCACGCACCCACGCACCACGCACCACGCACCACGCACCACGCACCACGCACCACGCACCACGCACCACGCACCACGCACCACGCACCACGCACCACGCACCACGCACCACGCACCACGCACCACGCACCACGCACCACGCACCACGCACCACGCACCACGCACCACGCACCACGCACCACGCACCACGCACCACGCACCACGCACCACGCACCACGCACCACGCACCACGCACCACGCAACACGCACCACGCACCACGCACCACGCACCACGCACCACGCACCACGCACCACGCACCACGCACCCACGCACCACGCACCACGCACCACGCACCACGCACCACGCACCACGCACCACGCACCACGCACCACGCACCACGCACCACGCACCACGCACCACGCACCACGCACCACGCACCACGCACCACGCACCACGCACCACGCACCACGCACCACGCACCACGCACCACGCA